TCCTCCTCGTCGTCATCTCCTCCTCCTCCTCCTCCTCCTCCTCCTCCTCCTCCTCCTCCTCCCCCTCCACAGCCCGCGAGTATGTGGCAGGGTCATCAGCTCGTCGTTGTCGTTGTCGTCGTCGTGGTCGTTGTCGTCTTTCTGGATCGGCGGCACTGGCCGTAAGGCCTTCACAATAGAGTAAATACATCGTTGGGCGCCGCGGCCTTCTCAGATCGTTCTGGAATTAGCGCTCCGAGAGCACTCGGGAACGCTCTGGAACCATGTTTTCCCCGTCTTAGCGCCGCCTGGTCCCCCTTCGAAGCCCTGAGATCCAGAGCGTTGCCACTTCTTCACACCAGGCGCTTTCGCCCAGTTTCTGACAAGGGGGCCATCACAGATCGATCCAGCTCGAGAAATGCAGCAGAACGATGGCGCCAATTTTTTGCCATTCGCGACAACGCCCATGACGGATCCCGCGCCCCCCCCTCCCCCCCTCCCCCTGGTCACGTCACGACTCGCGCCGGCGCCAGCGCCGTCTGGGAATTATCCATTCTTCGGCATTCCAAGAAGGCGCCGGCGCGAATTTTGACGTGACTGGCCCCCTCCCCCCCCTCCGCACCCTGTCAAGCCCGCTATGACCAAGGGATCAAAAATTATCCTGGCGAAGGACCCAACCATATGCAGTCGTGGGTACCGCAATTGTGAGTATCTTCTTTGGTGAAGCTCCCTATTGGGCCACGAAGCGCTGCACTACGTGGGAGGAACGCATGCGGGCCGTAGCACTGGGGCCGTCGGTGGAGCTCCCTATGGGGCCACGAAACGCATGGGGCCGAAGGGCTGTACTGGGTGGGGGGGACGCATGCGGGCGGTAACACTGGGCCAAGCTCCCTATAAGGCCACGAAACGCTGTGCTGGGTGGGAGGGACGCATGCCGGCGGTAGCACTGGGGCCTTCGGTGGAGCTCGCTGTGGGGCCACGAAGCGCTGTGCTGGGTGGGAGGGACGCATGCGGGCGGTGGCACCAGGGTCTTCGGTGAAGCTCCCTGTGGGGCCACGAAGCGCTGTACTGGGTGTGGGGAACGCATGCGGGCGGTAGCGCTGGGACCTTCGGTGGAGCTCCCTATGGGGCCACGAAACGCTGGGTGTGAACGGCCCCCAGACCGATGGAGAAGCCACAGCAGAAACTCATATGATCAGCTTGGTGGTTTTCACTGAATCATCCAGGGTTTCGCGCAGATGTTCAAACATCTGGATGTTTAATTCATTCTGAAACTCTGAAGTGGATACATGAGTACAGAAAACGCAAGGCTTCTCCACCGCTCTGGGGCGCCATATGTTACCTTAGGCAGGCCCAATTTAAGCGTCCCCGCCAATGCCATTCTTGTTTTGGAAACGCCGTCCACGTGGGGCCTCAAACTATGATGAACTGTCACTTTGAATGTTGGCTCAATCACTCTGCTCATACACTTAAGAATGCATGCGGCTTTGACCCGACGGGGACCCCCAATCCGCCGACCCGTCAACATGCAACGCAAGTGGATTGCTCGTTGCTCGAGGCAACCCTTCTGAGCCAAGAGGGCGGCGGATGAATCGGAAGACTTAGGGATGGTAGCAACATGCCAGAGACAGGTAGGCACAGTCTGTTGTTTTTTTGCTTGCGCCACTCGCCAGCAGCATCGCAACCAGAGAAGCTCGTCCAGCACGAGGTGTCTAAACCAAACCACTGGCCACATTTGATCAGCTGATCCCCAAAAGCAGGCCAAGCGTCCTAGAACAGACGGGGCCGCAACAGCTGCATACCCAAACAAAGTGACCATGCCAGTAGTCGTACAACCTAAGGCGTTGCATCGCGCACAAATCAATTATACCCCAAACACGCACAGAGATGATGAATTCCGAGGCAGATCACCGACACAGCTCATTGGCACCCCTCCCTACTTCATCCTGCCCGCCCGTTTGTGTCAACACGTGCAATCGTTTCCACCCCCATTCATCCCACCCTCGACGCATCGCTTGGCCTGAAGCGGTGCCGAGACATCTAGCAATCGAGTGCCACTAGCCTGCTACAAGACAACGACGTTCCACTCGCCGTTGCCGTCGCCCTCCCACTGACGCTGAATCTCTTCCAAAAGGCTCAGGAATGCCCCGCGGTGCGTCCACTGACCCCACGACCTGGACCTCTGGGCGAGGTGAGCGTGATCCCCCGTCCACCAAGAGCGCCACGCCTTGTGGTGCTCACTCGATGCGACGTTGCAGTCGGGCGGCACCAAGCTCCTGGCGATCTCGTCTGTGATGTCAGACTTGGGCACCTCGAGCTTGACGCCTGGTTTCGGACCTGGATGCGCCTCGGCGCCTTTGCCTCGACCTTTGGCCCCTCTGCCCCTGCCTTTTTCCTCCCTTGCCCTTGTCCTTATCAATGGCGGCGGCGGCCGCAACCTCAGCCGCCTTTTTGTCATCAACGATCTTCTGTTTCAAAGCCTTGATTGCGGTGTGCATGTGGCTCTTGTCCGCATCATCTTGCTCTTGCTGTGTTTTGTAGTCCTGGCGCCAGCGGAGGGTAACAGTCTAGAGTTGGAGGGCGCGGGGTGGGCAGGGGCGTGATGGGGGAGGGTATTTCGCAGGCTGGCTTCGCTCACAAACACCTGACACGCCCTGGCACAACCGAGATCTTTCATATAGAATCACAACAGCAATGGTGGCACACCATCTGAGACCAATCCCCCCTCAAACTAAATATAACACGCCAGGCCACACGTTGTTAGGATGTTTAGCGATCGCGATCGGTCCTGCATCATCTCTTTGTCGTGCTTCCCAAGCTCCTCCAACAAAGCTGGGTCGCTCGCGACGCAGTCCATTGCATGGTCAGGTTTCTCAATGCGCTCGTTCATCAAGCGCAAGAGCTCGAGCTCCTTCAAAGGGCCAAGTAACTTCTGAAGAAGGGCCTCGAGCTTTTTGTATATCGTCGGAGGTTTCGCCATATCTAAGTGCTTTAGAACAGCGTCGAGCACCGTGCCGTTGCATTTCCAGAAGCAGTGCTCGGCAGCGATATTCAGCAACCTTAGGTGCACGTGGCTTGAAAAAAAAAACTCCGATCCTCTACTCATCCCTCACCCCCTCGCCCTCGCCTTACCTCAGCCCCCATGCAGATCCAAACCTCCGTCCTCCTATTCAGTCACCTGATCGCTGTCGAGCTCGAGCGTTCGACCTATCGTCGATCGTTCGCCGAGGCCACGACGGCTCGACAGGACCAGTGGGTCGCGCGAACAGCCCCGTCGCTGGGCTGACCGAGCGCTCCTTCCATGCCCACGACATAGGCGTCTCCCACTGCATCGGAAGCGCCTGTAAGTGCAAACGGGCAACCAAGTTGTTCAAACTTTATTTGCTTTTGCATTGTTCGGTCATCCCTGGGCCGGAACACCTGGACCGCCCCGTTTCGTTTACTCAAGCCCACTCGGGCCGAATTCTAAGCTCACATGCCAGCCAACGTTGGCCACAAAATCGCCATTTTCCCCGGGGAACCCCCGCGTTTTGCCTTCGTGCACCTCGAACGCGCCTGGGTCCAGGACCGAAACGAATTTGATGCGTTCTCTACGAAACGCGTCCATCACATAAACAGATTCGGTTTCTGATACCTTGACAGCCCTTGCAGTCAGAAGCATGGCGCTGTTGAAGAAGTGGCCGACGCAGAAACTGAACGCGTCTGCAGGATCCGTCTTGCGACGAACCAGCACGCCGACATGGAGTAAGGCTGTCATCACACTCCTGTCGGCAATGGCCCAAGACTTGTCTAAGAAGCACTGAATCATCAGAAACATATCGCCAACGAGCTTGGCCTGGGTCCTGGCAGCGAACGTGGGCCACGTGGTCTTGCTGTCGTGCCCCGAGTACTGGGCCAACTTGTTGGTAGACGCACTCCTATTGGAACACGAACAGCCAAAACGGCTTTCTAAAAACTAAAAGTGGGCATGGACGAAAACAGTTTCCTTACCCTTCTCTCGTCACTCCTCGTCCTATTCTTCTTGCTCCTCTTCCTCCTCCTCTTCCTCCCCCATCCTCCACCGCGCTGCGTCCACCGCGCGCCGTGACCCTCGAAGTTTGCATTGCATGGCATTCACCGCATAGCTGTAACCAAGCAGCTTGCACCTCATAGCTTACGCCACGTCACTGGCGACGCGTAAAGCGCACCACATAGCTTGCACCACGTGGCTTGCGCCACATAGCTTGCACCGCCATGGCTTGCGCCACGTAGATATCACCACATAGCTTGCGCCGCGTGGCCTGAGCTCCGCGAACACACGTTGCTGCCTGTCGTTTGGGACCCCAGCTGGCCAACGTGCGAGGGCGCATGAGTAAAGACGCACCGCTTCTTCGGCGGAGGAGGCGGGGGGGGGGGGGCGGAGAGGTCGTCGCGGTGAGGACGAGGGGCATGAAGGAGACGAGGAGGCCCGTACCCATGATTGGTTCAAACACCATTTGTCCTCTGCGTGCTCTCGAAGAGGTCCGTGTCCAGCTTGCGCCCTTTCTCCGAGAGCGGCAGCCGTGTGTCCACTCCTACGGCAACCTCATGGTAGCGGTGCTTTTGGCTCATAGTTCTGTGGTTGATGATGTTCTCCCAAATCGATTTGGGGGGCACCTTGCCATTCCGCACCTCGTAGTTGCAGAACTCGCTTGCCACGTGGAAACTGTCCTCTAGCACCTTCGTTTGGCAAAAACCTGCAACTAAATCTTTGGCCGTCTGCTCTTGCACAGCGTCGATGCGCTCGAAGTTGTGCTCTATTGACTGGCGCATGAACTTTCGGACGAGCTGCTGTTGAAGGACGTGGCGGTTTTTAATCGGCTTCCAAAAAGCTGTATCTTGGAAGCCCGACTCCATGAACCCTTCCCATGAGCGCCATACCATCTTCAAGAACTGATTGAGGGCAGCGTGCTCAGCCTTGTCAGCAGACAGGCAGAGGATGAAACACCCAGGGAGGCTCCACAAGTAGTGCGACAAGCTCATTAGGCGATGCTTAACAAGCTGGAACGAGAACTGCATGAGCTTGGCTGCCCAGCCGCGCTCCTCGATGGCATCGCACTCGTCAAGGTCATCGGTGATGGCGAACGCGATATGGAATCCAAGAGTTTCCAAGCCATCTGGCTTAGAAATAATGTGCTTGAACATATCATCCAGCGGTTCCAGCGCCTTTCCTCGAACCACGTCCTCGAAATACTCTTGGGCTTCATGTGGCGATCTCACGAGCTTGTTTTGGTAAGATTGGTGTTCACGCAAGTAGTCGCAGAGCCTGACAAAAGCAACCAACTTCCGCTTGTTCATAGAATCGGACATCCAGGCAGTCACTAAATGCATTGTGTTTTTGCACCGAGCCCTCATTGCGTCAACCTTGGCGCTACCGTACTTCATTGGTTCAGCATCGGCTGCTTCCGCTGCCTTGGGGGCAGTATCTTGGAATGTTGGTATCAAGGTCCAGCCTTCATCAGTTGATCTCCCATACCCGCGTACGATGCTCAACCACACGTAAGTGAGATGCCTGGTGCTCCACCGTTTCAGGAAATGCTGGGCCGAGTCGTGCCACCCGGACCATCTGGATAAGCCAATATTGACGTTTTTCGTGTCCCATGCGTCACTTTCCTTGAGCGCCAGAAACACGCCCTCCAAGAACTTCTCGTCATTGCCCTCGATCGGAATTCCAAGCTCCGTAGCAATGGCCTTATGGAAACATACGAACAATGGGTGAGACGCGCCACAGGATGCACCGAAATTTTTCAGAACACTGCCTCCTTTATTGAAGTATGCTGAACCATCCCAAGGGCCGAAGTCTGAGTTGAGGACGATAGTACTGAGACGAATGAAATTCCATTCCCCGCACTCGCAGAATGCATCCTTGACATCATTCCACAAACGGTGGGACACGTCGTAGTGACAGAAGAGGTTCATCTTCATGGCGTAAAGCATGTAGAAATGCGTGGCGTAGCTGGTGGGCCCTTGGTCCAGGCTAAAGACGATGGTGTCGGGCCTCTGCTCAGGCCTTTCAATATGTGGAAGCCCTTGGATCTGTAGGGGCGTTTCGTCCTCGTTGGCAATGAATTTAGACAGGCCCTGAAGCCCAGCCTGTCGCATTGCATTGTCCCAAGCGAACATGTGTTTCGCACCAGCAACTCGCTTAGGCGTAGGCAACCCCACATTATCTCCCAATGGCTCGTGCAATGCGAAGGCCAGCGCACGCCTGTTCGCAGCGCCCAGCAGGATCGGGTCCAGGGGCTCATCGGGCGAGTTGGTGGTCACGTTGAAGGCCGACAGCACCTGTCCCCGAGACATCCGACAAGACCCCCATATCGAATCCAATTACCCTCCTTCTTGGGGAAGTGGCATATGGGGGGTAGTAGACACCCCAGGGGGGGGTGATTTTGATTCTCCTTGGGCTAATCCCCTAGCGCGACGGACCGAACCTTGGCGAGACCCAAAAGACGAGGAGGAGAAGGGGGATGAGGACGAGGCTGAGGGGGAGGAAGAGGAGGAGGCCGAGGAGGAGGAGGGGGAAACTGAGGAGGAGGAGAAGGAGGAGAAGGAGAAGGAGGCGGTGGATGGGGGAGAGGGGGGAGGAGAATGATAAGGGGTTCTCTTCTCTCTACCTACTACAACCCCCTCCCGTTCCCCTCCCTCTTCCCCCCACCCTCCGCTTCTGCGCCGGCGGGGTCCTCCAGTCGAACGGCCGGCCTGGCTGGTTCATATGACGCCCAGGGGTCGTCATATGACGCCCAGTTGGGCGTCATATGACGCACCCCCCGCCCCCCAAAGTGTGAAACACTCTCCAAAAACGTGAATCATATGACGCCACGGGGGCGTCATATGACGACCCACGTGCGTCATATGACGGGCCGTGGGGCGTGGCGTCCCAAGGGGGCTTAGGCTCCACCGCCGCCGACGCCGTCGCTCCCCCCCCCTCCTACTGAAATCACCGCTGTGGTTAGTTTCACTTGGTGGAAGGGTGACCACTTTCGGGGCCACTGGAATCACCGATCCTTCGGGGCCGCCCACAGAATCTGCATGATCTGCCTCTCACCTGGGACCATATCGGGACCCTTGGAATCCCCCTATCTATCTGAACCTCCACAGGTGTAATGGGATTATATCGGGACCATTGGCATCCCCGATCCATCGGTACAGCTTCTGTAGCCCCTCTTGCTGGTGTTGCTCATCCTCCTCTTCCACTTCCCCCCTCCTCGCACTTCTCCTCCTCCTCCTCCTCCTCATCCTCCTCATCCTCCTCTTCATCATCCTCCTCCTCCTGGTTCGCCATGGCTCAAGGCCGCCACCTGTGGCGGAGCCCATGCCCCGATGTTCTTGTCGCCGTTGCACAGCGCAACGAGCTCCAGGTTGTTGCCGCCGATCTCCGAGGAATCGGCGGCGATGTGCAAGCATTTGCACTCCTTGAACACATGTTTCGAAAGCATGCTGTATTTTTTCAGGAACTCAATGCGGCCGTGCCAGGCTGCCCCTGAGCCCCTCGGCACGTTTGCCATTGGATGAAAGATCTTCTGACGCTTACTGGCAGTGTCGTACATCTGTCTTTTTTCAGACGCAGAAGCGTCAACCAAGGCGCGAACTATTGCACGATCTTGTCTGGTTCCGACGGGATCAGGAACGCGAGGCGATTGCAATGGATTCGTGATACCAGGAGCTGAAATAAATTCGCTCTCTAAGGACACATGCGTTACCCACAGAATGTGTCTGGCGATTGGCATATATTTGGATGTCCACGCTGCTTTGAAGAAGGCCAAGAAATCACACTTGTTACCAAGATCTTTGACAACCAATTTCAGCATTCCAACAAACGGGTGACCGCTTGCAGAGCTATGTATCGGTCCAAGGTCCACCTTGCCATGTTGGGCATGTAAAGTCAGTGATCCATCATGCTTCTTGATGTCCGACCAGCCGTGCGCGCCCAATCCAGACCAAGGAAATTCCCATTCCAAAGATATATCAAGATCAATACTGAAGGAACTTTGCAAATATTTGTTGAAGAGCCCACTCAATATGTTGATCGCGTTGCCAGATTCAGTTGCTCGCTGAACTCTCGGATCCCAGTACCTGGCAAGCAGAATCGCCATCCCCAAGCTCGAACACGTGGCCTCATCGAAGAAGCGCGGTTCCCATGGGCTGAACTCATCAAAGTCACGTCGACCGTTGGTGTCCGTAGGGCACGCTTTTCGAAGGTGCGACGACGGGGCTCCTACTTTGCCAAATTCCGACTTCCATGTGTTCCAAAGGTTTCGAATCCAGACCTTGCCTTCCTGACCCTTTTTGGTTCGGCAACCCAATGCCGCCCGAAGGTCCCTGATCGCCCAGAAGCAGCGTGCGCCTCGCGAAGGCCGTTTGAGGATATACACTTTCGAAGCCAAGGCCTCCCCCGCAGAACTCGGCATGGTGTCGCACTTGGCAACGTGCTCCCGCAGATATGTTTCCAGTGCCGTTGTTGGCCCCTCAGGGCCGACGCAATGCAACTTGCCTCCGGTTGTGCGCACCTTTACTTTGAAGATGTCCTTCGCAGCCCGAAGCTTGTTCAGCGCTGGCTCGTAAATAGCTGGCCCGAGCACTGGGTCGTCGATCAGCTGCCAGCTGGCCAACGGCAGGGACCACGTCTCCATGGTCAAGCAATTGATGAGTTTCTGAGGGCACCCAGCTGCCCCTACCAAGCGTGTCTCTGCGCGAAGCAGTGCATTCTCATCGCCGTCCATCTGGTAAGTGCGATGTCGCTGAATGCTGTGAGCTGCGAGGGTACAGCTAACACGGGTACGACCGCAAATTGGCTAGAAATGGCTGCGGAAACGATGATGCCTTTGCGCGTTATTGATTGGTTGACGGAACAGGTTCTCATGACGGGCTCAATTTGACCACAAGCGTCATTGCCATGGGCTTGACTAGGGTTTGTCATAGGACCGAAAAACTCCTCCTCCTCCTCGCCCCCCTCCGCCTTCTCCTCCTCCTCCTGCTCCTGCATACCTCCTCGTCCTCCCCTGCAGCGCGCGCGGCATGCCCCGAGAACGCACAGAGGGAGGAGAGAGGACGAGGGCCAGCCTGCGGCCATGGCAGCGAATCAGCGCGCACAGCATAAGCACGGGATCTGTGACCACGACTGCCCTGAAGCTCAATCAATTCAGATTCATGGGGTCCACGCGTTTGGTTGTTTGGTTGCTGGTCGAAATTCCCCAAACAGCGATTGCACCGAACGCTGCGGTTGCCAACGTCTGGCCCAAAGGCTCTGGATTTGATTACCTGTTCCGTCGCCCAGAGGACAACTCGGAGGGGGAGGGCGGTGACGAGGAGGACGAAGCGAAAGCGTCGACGACGACGACGAGGACGGCGACGCCAAACTAATGCGCTCAGAACGCTCTTGCCGCGCTGGGCTTCGGTCGCTCGGAAGACACGGGAGGAGTAGTAGGAAGATGAGGAGGAGGAGGAGGAGGAGGAGGATGGGGGATGGAGGAGGAGGAATGAGAAGGGGAATGACTAGCGCACCGCACGAATCGCACATGCTACAGCACACAAGGACAGCGACAACCTTTCTCCTGGCCAGCATCGTGAAACTTGCTCTTGCCATTCGTGCCAGACGGATGTTGCAACGGACGGGCAGGATCAAGGACGTGTCGGGATCGGACGGGGGGGCGATGGCACGAAGAAGCAGTGGCGAGCGAGGGGAACGCGTCAGGAGGAGGGAAGACGAGAAGACCAATGATGGGGACGAGTAGGGAGACACACAGTGCAAGACGGTAGCAGACGACGTTGGCACTTGCGGGAATCATTTGTCGCACGTTGATGCCCCGAGCGAGTTGGCACTGCGTCGGATGCCCCAGCCGACGCGCGGGACGCGATGCCGCACCCGGACTAGAATAGAAACTCGATCCCTAGGGATGTTGGAATTGAAATGTATGGTATGTCGCACTGGCCCTACCCCGACCCCAAAGTTGTGAGTACTGATTGTGTGCGTGTGTATTGGGGTGCGTTCGTGTTTCCCCTCTCTCTGCCCCTCCTTCCCTTGTGCTGTCCCTCCCTCCTCCTCCCACTCCTCCCCCTCCTTCCCTCGCTCCTCATCCTTGCACCTCCCTACCTTTAGCCGACACCGTCCACCAACCTAAGAAGTGGACCATTGCAGCGCCTGAGAAAATACAGGGGTGACGCACTTCGTCAGACGACTGCTCAAAGCAACGTGGACTGCGAAAAGCAAAATCAAAAGCCCCTAGAAGGCCGACTAGAAAAATGCTTGCTTCAAACCGACCCCATGCTTGAAGCCATCCATACGGATCTTGCATTCAAATCTGCCTACTTAGAAGTCGTCCAAATTGAGCTCGCCAGTGGACTCGACGCCCAAGGACATGCTCCTCGAAATTTGCGGCGGCGGCGTGGGGGGTGGCGAGACATTTGGTAAGCTCTGAGTCTGGGTCTGACTGTCATCTGCAACAGGCTGAGGGCTGACCGCGGGCCCTGGAGACTCGGCTGTCGAAACCGCGTCCGAGGCCCGATCGAGCAAAGCAGGGGTGCGTGGGCCATCTCCGATGGCGAGCTGCGGGGAGCTACCTGCGCCGACGGAGGACGCCGACTTCGAAGGGCTGACATCCTCGCCCTTCACTACATCCCAACCAGCCTTGATGAACAACGTGGTGTCTGGACGTGGCAACTTGACCGACGCACGGTTCAGAATGTCCACCACTTTGATGTTCAGGCCGAGGGAGTTGGTCACGGTGGCGCCATTGTCGAACAAGTTGCAGGTAAAGATTGAGTTCATGTCGATGCCCAGCGCCTTCTCGCAAGGGACCTGGGGTAAAACACGCAACAAAGAAGAAGTAAGAAAGTGAGGCGAGGCAAGAGAAACGTTCGGATGGCTTCTCATCCGAATTGGCGCAAGGGCCAACGTTTAACCCATGGGGTGGGACGGGTAAACTTTTCAAAACACAAGGCGTGACCCGAAGTCCAGACGGATGCACCAGGTCGATCTCGCCCGTCTCGTCGCCCAACTCGGTCAGCCTGGCCTTGACGGCCCACACGCCGACGCTGTCGATGCACAAAGACACGACGAGCTCCTTCATCTGCTTCTTATCGCACTCCTCGAACATCGTTTTCATATCAGCAATCAGCTTCGCGAAACGCCTCAGGCGGTAACCGAACGCCGTGTAGCGCAGGTGGGCAACGTGCTCCAGGCCGATGTAGTTCCTGGGGTAGTACTTCGCGATCTTCGACGGTTTGCCATCAGGCTCTTCGTTGGGGATCGCTTGGGCCAGCTTCCACAATGCCAGGATCTTCGAAGGGTCATTCTCGTAGATCGTCTGCATCAGGTCGCCGTCCAAGGCGGGCTCTAGCTTCCCAAGGAAGTCCTTCATCCACTTTTTAGGGAGATCTGCAATGGCCAGGGTCCCGCGCGACATCTCGCCCTCAACCTTCTCCTTGGCTTCAACATTGAAGCCGCCCCCCATCAACCAGAGCGCCAGATCAGCGATCTTAGATGGGTTCTTGTCCATCCAGTCGTTCACGGTGGACCTGCCAGCTTCTGCGTTCGACTCCTGAACCGCCTGGCTCGCCTTCGCCTTCTTCCTGTCCTGCGCGGCCGAGGTCTCAGCCTTGCGCTTGGGCGCCATTCCGGAAGCACAGATGCAATTGAAGTGAAGCAACTGTAAACTTCGCAGGCCTCGAGCCCAAAACGGCTATGGAGGGGGAGGGAGGGGGCTCGATTGATAGAAGTGGTGCGCGGAAGCGCGTGGCGGTTCTGAAAGTTACTGGAGGACGGCCGTCGGCCACGATTCTGACACATCCCATGACGCGTTAGAACTTCCACAAGCACTCCAATACTTATCGGACCAAGGCAAATCACTCACCATTGCAAGCAGACGGCCAAACATCTGTTATGTGCATCAGAGCAACATGTGTTTTACAACCGTCCACGCTCAAAACTGGTTCGAACATGCACCTGTAGGGTGCGCAGAGCTCGAAGGCCGAATGGGGCTATTCTGGAATCAAGAGGGGCGCAATGCAAGCAAGACGATGCAGCAGGGGACGAGTTGCCCTAGCGTGTTCGCTTGTGATGCTTAACCAACCTACGAAAAGGACTCACATTTCGAGCTCTACACAACTGCTTAATGTACTCATAATACCATGCCACATCTTCAACTGAGTGCACGAGAATTCGATAGCCCCCCCCTGAAGTACGGACGCGGAGGAAGCACGAGAAAGAGAATGAGGTGGTTCCCTCCCCTTCCTCCTCCTCCCCCTTGCCCCCCGCAGTACCCCCTCGTTCTACCTTCGTCTTCCTCTTCATGTTTGTTGTTTTGCTACGTGCGTGCTGCTGTCTGCTCTTGAGTGCTAGCTCTGGCCACCCTGATCTCAGTTCGCTAAGCTTCATTTTTTCAAGAACCCAGGGGCGTCATCATATGAGGTTTGGCTGTGGCTTCTCCATCGGTCTGGGGGCCGTTGAGGGTGGGGGGGGCGCATGCGGGCGGTAGCACTGGGGGCGTCGCTGGAGCTCCCCATGGGGCCACGAAACGCTGTAGTGGGTGGGTGAAAATGCCAAATTGGGCGTGTGGGACGCATGCGGGCGGTCCCACTGGGAGCGTCGGTGGAGCCCCCGATGGGGCCACGAGACGCTGTACTGGGTGGGTGCAAATGCCAAATTGGGTTTGTGGGACGTATGTGGGCGGTCCCACTGGGACCTTAGGTGGAGCTCCCTATGGGGCCATGAAACGCTGTACTGGGTGGGGCGACGCATGCCGGCGGTAGCACTGGGGCCTTCGGTGGAGCTCGCTGTGGGGCCACGAAGTGCTGTGCTGGGTGGGAGGGACGCATGCGGGCGGTGGCACTGGGGCCTTCGGTGGAGAGCCCTATGGGGCCACGAAACGCTGTACTGGGTTGGTGAAAATGCCCAATTGGGCGTGTGGGGGACGCACGCGGGCAGTCCCACTGGGGGCTTCGGTGGGGGCTCCCTATGGAGCCACGAAACGCTGTACTGGGCGGTAGCACTGGGACCTTCGGTGGAGCTCCGTATATGACCACGAAACGTGTGAGGGGTGTACCGAAATGCGTGTGGGTGGCGCATGCGGGCGGTGGCACTGAGAGCGGTCCCACTGGGGGCTTCAGTGCAGCTCCCTATGGGGCCACGAGACGCTGTACTGGGTGGGTGAAAATGCCAAGTTGGGCGTGTGGGACGCATGCGGGCGGTCCCACTGGGAGCGTCGGTGAAGCCCCCGATGGGGCCACGAAACGCTGCACTGGGTGGATGAGAATGCCAAATTGGGTTTCCGGGACGCACGCGGGCGGTCTCACTGGGGGTTTCGGCGGAGCTCCCCATGGGGCCTCGAAGCGGTGTACTGGCTTGAAAATGCCAAGTTGGGCTTCCCGGACGCATTCGGACGGTCCCACTAGGAGCGTCGGTGGAGCTCCGTATGGGGCCACGAAACGCTCTACTGGGCGGGTGAAATGCCACATTGGGTTTCCGGGACGCATTCGGGCGGTCCCACTGGGGGCTCCGCATGGGGCCACGAAACGCTGCACTGGCTGGGTGAAAAATCCAAATTGCGCTTCCAGGATGCATGCAGGCGGTCCCACTGGGGACTTCGGTGGAGCTCCTTATGGGGCCACGAAACGCTGTATTGGGTGGGTGAAACGCAGTGAGGAGGGAGGAGGGGGAGGAGGGGGAGGGAGGAAGGAGGGAGGAGGAACGCAGGGACCGTCTCTTCAAAACGAGGACCCAACACCACAAGATGGTTGGGAAAAACTTCCCAGAAGGCGCGCCGCCTTCTGGGAAGTCCCGCCGCCCCGTCTTACAAGGCGTTCTCCCTCTCAGTTCCCCCCCTCGCTCGCCGCCGAGCATCGAGAATCTCGGAAATACGGCGGCTCTGGAGGATGTCTCGGGCGCCCCTTCGCCTCACCAGCACGAAAGCACGGCACGGCACGGCACGGCTCGGCGAGCACGGCACGGCACGCCACGGCACGCCTCTCGCACCCTGGACGACACACGCGGCGCGGCACGGCACGCAGGCTCGGCACGGGACGGCACTGCGCTGGAGGCCTCCTGGATGGGGTCCGAGCAGATGGGGTCGAAGGACCATCGCCAGTACATCGGCGATGCATCGCCGACGTCGGCGGTGCATCGGCGACGTCGGCGTGGAGGAAATCGGGCTCCGCATCGAGCCGCATCGCCGATGCATCGGCCATGCGGCGCGATCCTCCGACCCCATGTACTCAGCCCCCATCTGGGAGGCCTAGAGGCGCAGTCGCAGTCTCCACGGCACGGCACGGCGCGTGCACGGCATGGCGCTCTGGCAGCAAATCTTTTGCGGCTCGTGGCGCAGAAACGGCTCTCCCACGACAGTTGGGACCCCCTAGGGAAGAGAGCTTCCGCGCGGACTTCTCAGCTCGGCGCTGAGTCCTCCCCCTGGCGCACGAAGCGCGCCATGGGGGAGGCGCCGGAGGCTTCGACAGAGGGGGCTTCCAGCGCCGATCCGAGAGATCCGCGCGGAGCTTCGAAAGCTCATACTCATGCACCCTTGTGCCAAGTCGGATTTGCACCCTCGTACCCTGCTGAGCTCAGGGTAGGCCCTCTAAGGGGAAGGACAGCTTGGCAAGCCCAGGATGGGTAATGAGAAATGGACACGATGCCCAACAAAAAACATGTGTGTATCCAAATCCGACCGACAGCGGCTCTGTTGCGCGAACGACTTTCTCCCTCGAACGGACAACGTCCGCGGAAACGCCGACAACGACTCCCGCTCAAAATGTTTTCGCACACATCCCTTCCGTACCCGAGTCGACCATACAGTCGAACCTAAGCCAGAAAAAACATCTTTCCAAAACACGACGAACGCGAGAATACCCTCCCAGAGCCGACCTCGGTCCGACTGTACCCGATTCGATGCTACCGAGCCGCGGGGGGCGGAGCTCGACCGTGCCGGCACCGTGGCCTCCCGCGGCCCCTGGCAGGCTCCGCTGCCGCCGCTGTGCCTTCGCCGCCCTTGCAGGCTCAGGCGGGTGCGCCGCGTATCGCGAGCCCCGTCCCCCCCCTTTTTCCCCCCCTTTCACTCCTCCTCCTCCTCCCCCTCCTCCTCCTCCTCCTCCTCCTCCCTCTCTCCTCCTCCTCCTCCTCTCCCCTCCTCCTCCTCCTCCCCTCCTCTCCTCCTCCTCTCCTCTCGTCCTCGTCCTCCTCCCCTTCACTCCTCCTCCTCCTCCTCTTCCTCCTCCTCCTCCTCCTCCTCCTCGTCCTCCTCCTCCTCCTGATTTTCCTCCTCCTCCTCCTGCTTCTCCAGGTTCTCCATAGATGACGGGATCCTCGACGCCGAGACGCGAACATCCAGCCACAACGCAAGGGGGGGGGAGGCGGCTGGTTTTGGGCGGCGCGCTGGCCTCCCAGCGCACGTTCAGCCAACAAGACTCTACCCCAGCCGCCTGAAATCGAAACTTCGCCCGAAAAACCTTTTTGGTAGACGGGTCGACGCCTTCTCGGAGCATGTTCAAGCTCCGAGCTGCGTCCTTATTCCGAGGGTGATTAATGCACCTGTCAGAGAGATACTGAGACCTACGTTTCCCAAAAGCCCCACACCTCGAACACCACGCCACACGGCCCCCTCCGATGAAGAGCTGGTGGGAGGGGTGGGCGAGGCGAGCTACCTTAGGCAGCCCAGAGCAAGGAACCTTACAAACGCCTGTGCGAGATCCTAGCTCCCCGCATCTGACACACTGGTACTTGAATCTGCCCCCTGGAAGCTTATAGCGGAACAGCTGGTGGCCAAGCGCATCGGGCACCAGCTCGAGACCTCCTGGTCGCTGTCTAACCTTGGCCCGAATCTTCTCGACATCTGGGAAGTTGAGACGGGAAAGGGTTGTCATGGTCTCGTGGATCACGCAAATGCTGTTGGTGACAAGCTCGGCCTGATGCACGCACAATTGCTTATCTCAGGGGTTGTGGGAATGCACGGCGGCCCCTAACTTAGCCAGGCGATCAGCCTCTCGATTCCCAGCCCAGACCCAGATATGAAACCCACGATCCAGGGCGGCCCTACGAGACAAATGGCTCTTGACTTTCGAGAGGGTGATGTTGCGCACCCCTACATCCACAGCCCTAGCGAAGATGTCACACCACAGCTCGCTGTAGCTGACGTTAGTGAGGTCCTGGCCTGGGCCTTTCTCCCAGACGTCACACGCCATCTGGCAATCCGTGCAGGACTCTGCGGGGCAGGCTCCCACCTGCCGCTGAGCCACGAGGAAGGCGTAAACCGCCCCCCCTCCTGAGGACTGAAGGGGGCAGGGGAGGGGACCGACAAGCGACCCAACTATATTCCCGCCCATGTCAGCCGCGACAGCTCCCCAGCCAGCCCTCCCTCGCGAACACTTCACTGGCTGGGTCCAAGGCCAAACCGCCCAAACAGGTCTTGCCAGAGCGGAGGACACCTGAGGGGGGAAAGACGCTCCACTTGAAACCAGCATCGACCAAGGGAGGGGGCCAAAGAACTTCGGGGCTAGCATACAGGCCCCTGGTGAATCCAGGGTCTCCGTCACCAGCCCCCCTTCCTTTGGCGAGATACCCTTCGAGGTCGAGGCTGGCGCGGAGCCCGGCGTTCCCGTCACAGCTGGAAAATCGGTGCTTGGGGGT